TTATATTTATTTATTTACTGAAAGGAAGCTCACTATTAACAGGAAAATGTAGAGACTGATAACAAAGAAAAAAACCTGTATAATAATTATAAGAATGGTATCCATTCTGAAATGGAATTGTCCCCAGAAATTGCAAACAAGCTCTAATAACCCATCTTACCTATCATGATCCCAAAAGTATTTACATATTACTATTATTTTAACACAACTACAAGATTATTAGAGTGATGCATAGAATCACTCTTCTTGTTAAGTAATCATGTGTATAAGCTTTGCTTAAAAATTCTAAACTATTCTTCATTAATACCAGTTTCTCATATGTATATGGACTAAAAAAATATACTGTTGAAGACATATACCATATGATATGTACTTGCTAATCAGAATCCAGATACTTTTAGGGATGTGTTTTCATATACTCTGAAAAACCATGGTCTTAAAACAATCACATAGTGAATATGCTATTAAATCATACCACACCCCTATCAATACCAAGGAGATAATGATAAATAGTTCACTAGCAAAATGCTTCTTTATGTGATTTATTTTTGCCACTACCATGATATAATAGAATGCATAGAATTAAGTCTGTCTTGTTTTTGTGCCCAAGGATGTGTAATGCTAGTCAAAAGAACTCATCTCACATTAATTCAATAGTTAACAAAAAAGTATGAAGTGATTAATCTGCTTATGAAAGGTCTGAGCACTGAACACATCCTTTGAAGGCATAAAAGGTGTACAGAAAGGAAATAGTGCTAAAGGGAAAGGAGGAGATCGGTGTTTTGTTTTTTTTGGTCACCAACTCAATAGGTGATTTTGAACATATTTCTTAAAATTGTTTCACTCTACTTTCCTTAACCAGAAGATAAGTGAGCTGGATATAATGCTTTCTAAAGTTCAAGTATTCAGGGAAGCATGATTTTAAGAACATCCTAGACACATCTAAGCAAAATATCTGACCAAATTTAATTTCAAAATACTTTCTTGGGTTGTTCACATGTTGAAGTGATAATATTTCTTTATCCATGAAGGTAATTTAACATACAGAGCATACATATTGCTTACTTTATTTGATTTTGTTTAGAGTATATGCCTCATTTTAAGATGTAAGTCTTGGGAAAAGGACTAAATTCTATATCTTAAAATGTTAAATGACTGAATTCAGTGTTTTAAAATGTTATTCTATTTAACTTTTTATTTAATATATAAATATTTTATTCACTTCCCTATTGTAACACATGTTTTCCTGCTTACTACTTGGGAAATAATTAGAAATTGCAAGTAAGTCCTAAAATGTTGGGTATGTCCTCTTGAGAATTAGGTATTGTAGTCACTTAAGACCACAAAACAAGTACTGTATGAAAATTAGTTTATTTCACTTGCTTCCATCCTGGCTCTTTCTAAGAGTGCTCTCTCACAGGAGGCTTCCGTATGGGTAGTGGCTAGCAAAACAGTGCCATTTTTGCTTGTGTCTCCCAATGAGTTCTTTATTTGCTTTCCACAACAAACTTTTCTGATTTTCTTTGCGGGGAGCAAGGTTAAAAATGCTTCACCTTTGGATTATTTCTGCGTTTTTCACAATCTTTTAGCCTAATTCAAATTTACATTGTCTGGCATAACTATTTCACCCAGGTGATTATCAAAAGCATTCTTAACTAAAGATTTCAAGGGACTTTCATCCCATATGCCAACCATGGTATGCTATGGATTATAGGATTAGTAATGTCTGTCAAGGGTTTGGGATTGGGAAGTTGTAACATATATGTCAGATATTTTTCTGGCCTACTTTGTCTAATCTACAAGTTGTAAGTATTTAGGAAGGAAAAGAAAGAATAAAAATAAGTTTTAGGAATATGTGGGATACAAGCATCTGATTATCTAAGAATCAAAACCCTTATTCTGTATCTCTAAGCATGGTAATAACAAACCTTTGAAAGGCCTAATAATATTTTAGGGCTGGGGATTTAGCTCAGTGGCAAAAGCGCCTGCCTGGCAAGCGCAAGGTCGTGAGTTCGGTTCCCGGTACCGGAGAAAAACAAAAACAAAAAAAAATAATATTTTACTCAAGCCTAATAAAAACAGAGAGTTAATACATGCACTGAAGCCAATATTTTTCATATGTAAGCTTCATGTTGCTGAATACTAAAACTACAATGGTCTTTTGTTTTGTGTTACTGGAGATTGAATCCAGGGAGTGCAGTGCTGTATCCCAAACCCTTTTTAGTTTTTTATTTTGATACAAAGTCTTGATAAGTTGTCTAGGCTAGCCTTGATCTTGTGATCATCCCGCCTCAGCCTCCTGAGTAGATGGGACTACAGGTGTGTGCCATCACACCAGCCCTTCTCTGAGTAGTTTAACTGAAGGTTATAGCTGGAATTATTCCTGACTTGGAGTTCAGAAATAAGCAACAACCTTGCTATAACTGACGATACTAGATAATACGACACAATGATAGGAAGATGGATTTCCAGAACTAGCTCAGACACTATAGAGAACTGCATGGCACAGCTGTGCAGATTCACAGTAGCACCTTCCAAGGTAGAAATCTAAAAACAGAGAATAATTTGTCTTTACCTCATTGGAAACAGCAGAAGAGTGATCTTGAACATAGTCCAGAGCCTTTTTAGGAGGCTGGGTGTAGATGCACCACACAAGCAGAGTGTGGAGATGGAATGGAGGAGAATCAATGGCAGCAAGGAATGGACATGTGGAAAAGGTGACAACAGTTCAACAGTTAGAAACTGAGTGTGACAGCATCAGACACACACAGAGTGACACGAATGGAGCAAACTGGGGCAGCCTAGGAGGAAGAGCGCAAGGTTGCAAATATTCTCAAGCACTGGGCAAAAATTGCTAGTATTCAATTAGTATATTCATAAGCTCATTTCTCAAATCAAAATTAGCACTCCCAGTCTCTGGGCACAAAGGTATGCAAGGCCGATTAAAGACACATTAAAAGAGTAAGTGGACAGCATGCTGGTGAGTTTTCACTGTGTGGCTGAAAACGATTATAGAAAATGCTGACAATTTAGACTCATTACTGAAAGTGGTGTAGTCCCTGTAAACTGTCTAATCAACAAAGACTGTACATATAAAATAAGGCTGGGGAACCTTTTCCCTCTGAAGTAAGATGCCTTTATGCTAACACTTCGGAACAAATTAGAAAAAAATGAGAGAAAATATTTTTCCTGTTAGGTAATAGAAATGCTATAAAAATTATTTGGTTTATATTCATTTACAGTAACATTTGATTAAGTTCAATAAAACATCACGAATCTAACCAAATCTCCTTTGCATTTAAATGGCTGAAAGGGACTACCAAACCCACCTAGTATATAATGTATGTTCAGTGTACAAGTATATAAATCCAGATATGATGTGGTAAAAGAAAGATCATGCTCTCTGGTATCTAATGAAAACTGTTGTGGTATGTGATTGGTATGTACTATGAGTTTCAAATTCATAAATCATGTGACTGACACGCATCCAAGGCACTGCTGTTGGTAGCTGCAATTCTAAGTAAAACTGGAATCATTAAAGGAGGCTGTTATTTGAAGAGTGAGTTAACTCTTTATCCCCGCCAGTTTCTGTAAGGCCCAAGAAAGGGTTTGGGGATCAGGATGTAGCAGTGGCTTTCAAGCCAAATCAAGGCCACACGGTTTCTTCATGTTTTCCTTTCCTTATATTCCTATTGGTAATACTCTGGCAGCATATTATAGCATATAACTGCCTAGAGGTGTTTTTTGTTTGTTTTTTCGACAGACCTGGGTTTAACTTCTGACTCTACCTTTTACTGTTTTGGGCAGATTCTTGGACTGCTCTTTATCAGAAGGAAGAGTTAAAGAGTACAGAACCCAGCACTCGCCAGCGGCTTGGGATTTCTCTGCAAATGAGAGCTACAGTAATAATGATTATTATTGTACGTGCCCAGGTGCTTTTGTTTGAACTTGACCAAAATGAACTGTAGACAAATACAAATCATCTCTTAAGCTAAACATTTGCCTAAATATTTCGGAGTAGAAACTACCTCAACATCTCAAATTCGCAGATAATTATATATAAAGCAATCCTAACGCATGCTTTGGAGATAGAAACCATAGAGAAGCGGCTGAGCACATAAAAGCATGCGGGACAGAGGTGATGTGGCGCAGCCGTACCACAGCTCGGTACGCGTCACGCATTCAACTTGGTTCTCTAAACGACACCTCCTCTGATAGTGATACTGTTTTATAAATCAAACAACATCCTCCTGTTTGTTTTACAGTAATAGTCTAGCCTCACTTACCGGGCGTCCAAACTCCAGCTCTGAAAAGAATTTATACCAGGGCTCATTTTCTAAATCTATGTCATCTGGGTTTATGCGATCAGTCTGGAGCAGAAGTGAAGGAAAGGGAGGAAAAGGCACAGGGAGCGAAGTGAGGGCACCGCTGTGTGGTACGAAGAACGCGCGCGTACAGCACACATGCACGACCCTCGCCCCGCGCACCTCAGCAGCAGAGGCGGGAGGGAAAGTAAAGCACGCACAATTAGGAACGAAGATGAGCCGGCTTAGACCCCCACTTATTTCCCCCGTCCACCATTTCTAATGCTGTCCCTAACGCGGGGACAAGGGGCGTCGCCAGCAAGGCAGAGTTATTAAAATAGGTTCAACCGAGGCAAGGGGCGGGGCCCTTCTGGGGTGTCGCGCCAAAGTCCCTGTCCTCCGTGGTGACCAGTGGTCCCAGCACCTGGGTCGGCAGCTGCAGGCAGCTGCCTGGGGAGCAGCTCTTGGAGGGCCCGGGCCGGGCCGGGCCGGAGGAGCTGGGAAGAGGCGGGAGGGGGCGGCGTGGGGTGCGAGGCGCGGGGGTGGCCGGGCCGGTGACAGCCAAGGGCGCAGGGAGGCGCGGCGCGGCCAGCGTCTTCTGCGCCTTCTCAGCCCCTGGGAACTAGGCGACCCGAGCTTCCCGACGGGCGTGGGGCGAGTGGCAGGAGGGAGCTCACCCGGGTGGGAGCGGGAGCCGGGGCGCCCGGGCGCGCGGCGGGGACCCCGCTCCGGGGCGGAGGGGAGGGGCCACGCGCGGCTTCTGCGTGGGGCGCGGAGGACACAGGCTTCGGGCCCGCTGGCGTCGGAACGGGTGTCGGAGTTGTTGGGAGAGGGGGCTGCAAGAAAGAGGGGTGAAGCAGACACTGATTCACTAGGTAGGGGCGCTGGATGGAACCGTGAGGACCCCGCCAACAGGGGGCGCCCTGCGTGAGGGCAGCGGGGGGAAGAATCTCGGGCCACGAGGGCCCGAGTGGGGGTGTGGAGCAGACACAAAAGGGTTGTTTGCACCCCGCAAAGATGTGAAGGTCGGGAGTCTCTGGAAAGTGAAGCTTGGCCGTGTTTTGTGAGACCCCAGGGTCTCTGTGCTCCTGCCTCCTCGGAGGTGGAGGAAGGGCCGGGGAGAGGCAGGGGCGGAGAGGGAGTGGGGGTGAAATCCCACCTGGGTTTCCTTGACGTTCTCATCTAGAGAAAAAGCCAGTTTTTATAACCGACTTACTCCCCTCTCGTGGTTTTTGAACATTTAAAAGGGAAAAACTAGGTGAACAGTTTGAGAAAATTCATACAATTACATTACAGAAAACAGACTCAGAGTGTTTACTTAATCCACCGATATACCATTAGTGCTTTCAATGCCTGACTAGATGGACTTCAGCTGTAGATTTTGTATTAAAACAGAGTACTTAAAGGACTACATGAGTGTTACTACTTCTTTACAATTATCAAATGACACTAATGAACTGGGGTACAGTGGGACAATTAAATCGGAAAAAATTCTAAAATGTTATTTGGTTTCCTAAAAGCCAGAAAAGCTGTGATACCCAGGACTTACCCCAGGAAGGCTCCTAAGTGCTCACTGCTTCAAAATAATTTTTTTACTGTTCTTTCGTTTTTCTGTTTTGTTTTTGTTTTTTCTTCTGGTACCAGGAATCGAACTCATGACCTTGCACTTGCCAGGCAGTTGCTTTGCCACTGAGCTAAATCCCCAACCCCCTTTTTATATTTCTTAAGGGAGCTCAAGGACCTCCACTGAGTAGCTACAACTTAGTTCTCAAAGAAATGCTCTATTACTCTGGTAATGTTGGGCGCTTTGAAATATTCCATATTCCCATTAAAGCTACTGTCTTGACATGTGTTTGTCCTCATGTTTTATCAACTTGTTGCATTTACAAAAGTTTTGTTAAGAATGCCATTAACACTGAATAACAGATTATACCTAACTTGTTTTTAGTGATGTGGTTTTATTTGAACATTTTTAAACAAAAGGCTGTGACCATAGCTATTACAATGATAAACATTTTGAGAGATAATAATAAAATAGTGGAAGGGCCTGTGTGGTCCAATATATGTAGTGATTATAATTATGAAGGCTGTGCAGTAGCACTGGCAAATATTTTTAATGAGATGCCAGGCAATAAAAACAATATGAGCTGATATCTGGGTGAACACAGTAAAGAAATGCACACATAAAAGACCACAATGGTGTTCCGGGATTGATATTGTTTGGCATTTCTTACATTTAAACATTATTTTGCTTTGTTGTTACAATGCTATTTTTTACTAATACATAACAGTCAAAGAGAATATGGCGTTATGTATGAAAAAATGCACAGAAATATTGAAATATTTTCCCTACTTTGCCAATATTATTGGTGTACATTTCAGAAGTAATAGTGAAATTAGTAAAAAGAAATTATTCTAGCAACTGATTTGCTATTTTGTGTTTGATTTAAAATTTATTTCAGTTATTGAATTCAGAAGTATTAATTAAGATTTTGCTTGGGGGAAGAGAAAGGGGAATAATGGGATTAAAAATAAGCAAGTATGTTAAATGAGAGAATTTTCCAGTAGCTTTATTCTGTTTAGAGAGGCAAAGTATTTCTTCCACAGGAAATGAAACTCTTATTCTTTCAAAGTTCATAGTTTCTAGTGTTACATAGTGATTATTGACTTTTGATTTTGTAATCTTCGCTTTCAAGGATAATGTTTTGTTTTTCTAAGAGGAGACAGAAACTTCTCTTGGGGTAACATATTTGTTTAAAAATATTATGAACAGCAGAGGGCAGCAAATTTACTAAACAAGTATATTAATTAGCCGTTATAACTTCACTTTGACTTCTACTTTAAGAAAATAAGCAAGAAATACATAAATTAAATTCTGATTTAAAAAATACATTTCTATGATATAATATGGGAAAGGGAGATGAATATATATCATTTTGCTTCATACTTTATAATGGCAATTTCCCACTAATTATGATTTTACCTGTTTAAAAATTCAACTTCTAGTTACAAAAGGCAACTGTGTAGAATCCATTCCAGTAGAAATAACACCCAAAACATTAACTGACAATCATCAATAACTTTAGAGTATAATGAATGGCACAGAGTTCAACAGAGCCTTTATGTTAAAGAAAGGGTAAGTGGCAGAACTAGAATTTTGTCTTTGCTGTGTTTGACCTATTAGATCCCTTCAGTTATGCAACAAGTAGTATATTATGTAGCAACCCAGAGCCACTGCTAAAGCACACAGAAACCTCACAATAGCCAGTGACACATACGCAGATGGTCAGCCAACAGAAATATATGCACACTAATTAACCCACTAATTCAATGCTTTCCTGGTGTAACACAGAAATGCATTTGAATTCAGTAGGAATATTAGCACTCAGGAGCCCATTTAGGAGCTATTACACGCTTTACTGTAATTGCTTATAAAAGACAAAAGAGTACAATATTGTCATATATCTTTGCAACCCTGTTTCCCTCAACTTTTCATTTTTAAAAACTCAGTATACCTCTGCTTAATGTTAGCTTCACATCAGCAGCACCAAAAGAAGCATTTAAGAAAAGCTAAACTACAAATCACACATGATCCTTGTTGAAAAGCTACCAATGGTGAGCAATTTTAAAGTTTTTGTTTTCCACAATTTAAAAGCTTTCAGCTGGTTTTGTAATTATAGAAATTCCATTGTTATCAGTTTTCTGTGTCTATATGTTATTCCAAACAAAAAGTGTTTGAACATTTACCTGTTCATTACAGTCTATGCTTCAATGAATTGGCTGCTATGTTTTATATTTATACATTTATTGTGGCTCCACAATAAATACTAAACACATTGTTAGTTGGGATAATTCAATATGGTCCACAGCATCAGATAAAACTCCCCAAATGTTTATAGCTTTAACTCTGAGTGGCAATTTTTGTTGATAAAGAAGCTTACATCCTTGTTTTGTTTAAATTGCTTTTCATAAAAAAAAGTTTAAAAAATTGCTTTTCAACTCTGCACAATGCTTTCAATGCTATATCAGCTTTTATTGTTATATGTTGGTTTATTTATTATAGGGAAAGGTAGCATCTCTGTATCCTTTTTATTTTATCAAGCATAAAGAGCTCCTAAACAAATGCTCTCTCAAAATTAAAAAATTTGACATGTATTCAGTTTTTTGTTGAAGTAATGTTATTCTAAAAAAGTGAGTTATTTGAAGAAAAAAAAGGCCTAGATAAACATCATGTTGGAATTATGTGATTCTAAGGATTTAGAACATGTTTCTCAAGAACACAACCACAAATGCAGGGTTGAAAAATGAAATCAAGGACACACATACTGGGTGTGGTGGGGCAAGGCTTTTCAATCCAGTTTCACCGCTGGCCTTGCATTCTGTATAACAGTGTGATTGCTTGGAAACTCTTGAAGGAGCTAACAAAGGAAACTTTCTTTTTCCTATTCACTGATTCCAAAGTTCTTTTAAGACAAGGACATAAGTGAATTGCTACTGACATAAAATGTTTTTCTAGAAGCAGGCTGGAGAGGCAGAGGACCTTCAGAGATTTAAAGAAATTTTGGAGACACTGAGCTCTGAGGAGAAGCAGAGGGTGTGGAAAAGAGGAATGGAGAGATCAAAAAACAGAAGGCAGAGCCTATGTGTGAATCTGTAATTAGAATAGGCAAGCCCTTTTTCTCAAGTGTATACATCTTTTTGCTTGTATATAATTAAAATAAATTGTTAGAAAAATAATGCAGAGTAAAATATAATCTTGATGCATTAGAATGACAATCAGAAAACTTGAGGCTTGGTAACCTCAGAGAGATTTAATGAGGATCAATAATTTAATGAGGATTAATGAGGGTAAATAATTTGTTATGAAAAAGAGTATTTGGAAAATTTCTCCTTATATGAAAGAAATATTAAGAATACAATATGGGGGGCTGGGGATTTAGCTCAGCGGCACAGCGCCTGCCTGGTAAGCACAAGGTCATGAGTTCAATTCCCAGTACTGGAAAAAAACAAAAACAAAAACAACAACAACAACAAAAACCAAGAATACAATATGGGAGCCAAAAGATGTATCTGGGTCTATATATATAAAGGAGATTGATAAATGTTTTTTTCATTAGTGATCTAGAAGAGCAATTAAGTGGTGCATTTGTGGGTGTTTCTTTAAAATTACACTCAAGTTCATAGGGGCTGGGGATTTAGCTCAGCGGCAAAGCGCCTGCCTGGCAAGCGCAAGGTCGGGAGTTTGGTTCCCAGTACTGGAGAAAAACCAAAAAAACCAAACAAACAGACAAACAAAAAAAAAAACCAAAAAAAAAAAAACCAACTCAAGTTCATAATAGAGCTATAGTTATATGTTAATATGAATCCTGCACACACACACACACACACACACACACACACACACGCACACATAGTTGTGATTATTAAAGTGGATCTTTCAATTCTATGATGCACAAATCATAACAAAGTAAGTAAGATTCCTAAGTAAGCTAAAGAAATAAATTACTTTTATGACAAAAATTGCTAAGCGACATGAAGTTTAGGTTCTTTTGGGAACCCTGGGAGAAAAGTGAGACTTCCCTGGGATCAATGACAAGTGCTTACTGGTCTTTCATGCTGCAGAATTGATGATTTCCCAGGCTCATATTCAAAAATACTCCTTGGCTCAGACCGAAATTTTCTGGTATCTACCTTTCTGTCTGGAGGATCCCAGTCGTGCCTAGAAATAAATAGCAAATCACATATTAAACTAAATCCTGTACGCTTTAAGTGGCTGCATAATACTGCTATTTGTTTTCAGAGTTAATTTTGGCATAGATTTAAAAACAATCTTTCAGAATAAAAAGTCAGTCTATGGAAAATATCACATTTATGCTTTGCTTTATATAAATGACTTAGGTAAAGCAATTCATCTCATTTCATATTATATTTTTCTCTATTTTTTCATGTGGCTCTCTACTGCTGGCTCAAAAACTGCCATGATTCTGCTTGTAGACATGCAGACAGTGACTGTTAGTAAGTCCCTATGTCGCTAATTCAGCTGTGTCTGTTTGAGTTTAAAATAAATGGCAGTGTGCTCCCTGAAGCTATGAGAGTTTAACCTACCCCACTCCGTGACCTGGCCTCCTTGATCCAAAGCGACAAGGAGTAATTCATACATCATGTTTGATCTCATTTCCTGTAAGTAGCGTCAGAGTTTGTCTGTGGGATGTGCAACAGTGTCATTTGGGCTGAAATGCACAGGGACAAGACGAGTGCCGCCAGAGAGCCTCTTTAGTGTCAGCCTTCAAAAACCAGAGTCCAGCATCTATCTCACTGGAGTCTCACTGGAGTCTTTTTCCTCAACTACTGGCATTCAGAGGTTGTTAGGACTTCATAAGTAATGCTTCAAAGGAGGATTTAGCAAGTCCAGCTTTTCCAGGAAGCTAGGTCTAAAATGGAAGGCTTCTGCTGGAAAAGAAGGAAGGGCTTATTGCTTAGAGATTTATTTTTTTAGGAAGATGGGTTTTCTGATTTTAGATTGGGGAAATTCTAACTCCAGCGCATGTTGGAGATAGAAGCACTCCGAGAGGCACAACCGGGGGAGCCCTAGTTTTCTGTTACATCAGTGACGAGTATTCGGCAGACTCCTTCCAGTTTTTCAGTCTGATTTCTCTGTAAAACACACAATAAAATTGTGTCTATTTTTCTTGTAGAGGACTTTGTAAGGGGCCAGCATATTTCTTTATGAGAGATTTATTTTTTGCTAGCATATAGAGCAAACAGTACATTTAATTCTCAGTTAATTTTGGTTGTTTTTGATAGTAAAGGTATTATTTTGTGAGTGGACAATTATACCTCAGTTTTAAGACTTCACACATAATTGATCATGACAACAAAATGAGAAATCCTTCAAACATGACCTGTGCCCACTTTTGCAGTATCTTATACACTACCTGATCACTGGTTTCTCATAACCTTAATCTGGGGTATTCAATATAATTTTTTGAATGAGTATAAAGGATGATGCACAATAATCAGTACTAACAAAGGCTAATTTTTATATCCTTATTTACTAGTTGTCAGTAGAGGTACAATATGCTTGGATTTAAGCAGAGCTGAGTTTGAATTCTGGTTTGGACCAAAAAGCTGAACAAATGTGGAAAATTACACCAATTTCCTTAACTAGTTTCTTTGTCTCTGTAGTAGAGCATATCTCATTAGGATGATGTCAGAATTAATTGATGTAGTATGGGAAAAGTGCTTAGCTTAGTGCTTGGGCTGTAGTGAGCTCTTAATAAAGATCTCCTATAACTGGGAATATTAGTCATGATCCTAACAGAATGACACAATAGGAATGTGCTCATAATTTTTTATTTGAGTGTGAAGAGTTAGCATAAAAATATTTCAGTGGAAAAGTGAAAATTAGAATCAGTCCTAAGAGCTGGTAGAAATGAGTCATGGATAGATACTCACTAACGAAGGCCTGATTTAGAATTTGTGAATAACTTTCCCTTCAAACACACTATCCCATCATTTTTGCCATCCCCTGAAGCTGTTCTGAAAGTCTGCTTTTGTGTCTCTAGTTGGGTTGTGGCTATCTTGATGTTCTTTCAGTGGTCATTTTGACTTTGGGGAAAAGCCAGCAGTCACACAGTGGCACATCAAGGGGATAAAGATACACTGCAACATTTTTAGGAGCCCGCCTTTCTAATGCATGGCAATCAACATCATCATTCACCATGTTTTCGATCACACTGCAAAGTCACACATGAAAGAGGACTTCAGACCTATTTCAGACAGTGGAAAGAATGACAGGATGCAGATATTTAAAGTGAGAGGGACTATTTTTTGGGGAATTGATGGCACTGTGTCTTTTATTATAAGAAAATTTTAAAATTTAAACAATCACCAAACATTTTGATTATGTTACTTTGAGTTTAATTTAGTGCACTGTGATGGCGTGACCCAACACTGTGACAGTCTTTGTTACGATCCCAGTAGAGGGAGTCAATAAACATGTGTGTGGACTTAAAACATTGCGCATGCGTTCTGTCTGAGTTGATCCTTCTGTTGAGTGCCGTGTGGCTTTACTTTTACCCTAAGCGAACCATAGGCCACGCTGCGGGAGAATGCCTTACTTTTCTGTTGAAGATCGATCTCTTGGTCTTGGGGGGACATGTGGGGGAGGCACTGGGGAGGACGCTTCCTTAAAGGCATCGGTGCCATTGTCAGAGTGGCTCTTGGAAAGAGGTCTGTAGGTCTGGGTCTTTGCAGCAGGGTGAGACTGAGCACTGTAGGGTGCGCTGTACAGGCCTATCGCGGTAAAAAAAAGAAGAAGCAAATACCATTTTAAAAGTGCATTGAGTTGTCTATATCACCCAAAATACCAGTGATTTTGCCAAAATTATTATCAGTAGGCATATTCATATTGCATACATTAGGGAGGCATATTGTTCAGTAATTTATTAAGAATATCAATTTACTAGTCATTACTTATGAATTAACTATTAATTTATTCTTCACACAAGCACTGATTACAGTAAATCATCATCAATTATTTTGGAATTAGTACCAATTCAAATCATTAGTATGAATAAACTTACAGGAATTCAGCCAATTTTTTCCTGGATTATGAGATGCTGGATTTGTCAGAGAAGATATTATGGAACCCACGGCCAAAAGGATTAGTTTGGGTGGATGGAAGAGATTAGCAGGGATAGCACGGAGGAGGAAAACGTAAAAAAAGCGAGACATAAAAGTAGTAGGGGGTTGGGTTCATAGAGAGGGAAGAGACTGAAACCTGTAGGGCTTTGCCCAGTAATATGTAAATGACTGTCGTTTTACTTTGTTATTTGAAAATGTATTAAAATTCTGAATTTTCTCCACTTGCAACTCTTGTGCTATGTCTATTTGCATTCATCTACTTCTGAAGGTCCATGAAATTTTCATGACAGACGACAAGAAACAATGTCTTTGCTTATAGTCTTTGCCTCAATTCTGCAGTCAGACTTTAGCTTCTGAGTTAAGTAAAGGAGGTGAATTTGGTGTACCTGTGACCATTAGGAAAAGTGGAAGGGAACATCTTATTGGATATTACGGAGCCAACACCTAAAGCCAGAGGTGTAATAGCTTCATAGGATGATTTTACTCATCCTTCCTCTGTTTGACTATTGAGAGGAGTAGTAAAATCTCTAATAGTTAGAGGGCCCAAGTCCAAGTGTCACAGAGGAATAGCACCATACCATTTGGTTACCAGGCTGGCCAGAGGATCCCTACATTAGGGCTTAGCTGACCAAGGAGTGACTGTGGAAGTCCTAGGCTGAGGCCACGCAAGAGGAGGTACTGAGTGAACTCTCCCCCCATTTAGGATAAAGCAACAAGGGGGAACATTTTTAAGGGATCCTTACTCCAGCCCCAAGGCCACTGCACAACATAATAATCCCCCCAAATACAAGTGGAAATGCCAAGATTGAAATTATTAAATTATGTCCATTTGGAAGTTTGAATTAGAAAAGTTGTCCAGCCTAATGATATCTAAAAAAATCTTTCATTAAATGGTTACAAACACAAGCAAAAGCCTGGACAAGGTCACAAAACACTTTGATTGATTTGTTTTGGGGAAATGTACCTGAAAGATCTTACACAAGTAAGTGTAATCACTCTCTCTGCTGATAACAGAAGATTATTATCTTACTTTGTACTGGGGTCCCAGTAGGTTCCTTCACACTGTCCCTCACACTTTGGTTAAACATTCCTGAAGCTGAGAATAAACTAACAGTGGGAAGGGATGAGATAAAACAGTACCCATTCTCATTCCATGAGAAAGGATCAATCTTTTTGCTATGCGTACTCTGAGACAAGATAGAAAGCATCCTCCTAATTACAGGAACTGACAACGTGTGGTCAAACAAAGGGGTAATACAAGAAATCGTGTAATTCTTCCCAACATTGCCAAGCATAAAACAGTCATTGCAAGCAAGGAAAGCCATCCTACCTGCATTATATGTGTAAGGAGTATTATACATGTCTGAGTCATCATCTAGAAAATGAAACATAAATATGGTAATACAGATTCTGTGACTGTATCACAAGATAGCAGAACTTCAGAGAAACATCAGAAATTTGCTAGAAGAAGCAATGTATTCTTCCTAGTTCATAATACCACTTTTTATTTGCAAATACTGCTTTTTTCTGGGCCTCTGGAGAGAGGCTGTTTGTCTTGCTGCTTGCTTTCTTCATAGCATGCAAAGTCAATCCCTTGTCCTCATTTGCCCAGGCGGCCACCTCTTCTGGGTCATGATTTTCCTTTAGCAAGTACTTTGAAGATCTTCTGTCAATTGCACTGAGTAGACTCAGCCAGACCTATCTGTACTCACAGTCTTAATAAGGAGCAGACAGGGTAGACAGAGGAAAGAGTGTTGAAGCAGACAACATACTAGTGTAGGTGTGGTAGGAAAGGACAGGGGTAGGACCAGAACACCTGGCAGTCCTCCAAGGGCACATCCTAAGAGGCAGTGTGGAGCCAGGTAGAGGCACAGATCTGTGACTTGAGGGGAGATATAAGGAGAACAGAGGGCTATAGAAAAGAACAAGGGGGCATGAAGTTCACTGGGGTCTTGACATTTTTGTGTGAACAAGATCTGTATGAAAGAGGCATCATTCCACAAAGACCTGGTCAGAAAGCAGAACAATATACACACCTGGCTTGTGCACCATGTGAATCTGCTTAAACATGGTCTTGTACCAGTCCTTAGGCCGGTCAACTGTCTGCAAAACAGAATATCCAAAAGTTACAGAACTGCTTTTAGGTCATCATTATTCTTCAATGTTTTCATGGCTTATATTCAGTCTTTTTAATAGCATATTTTTTTTAAATAGTAAACTACTATTTATTGAGTTTTACAGGGAATTATAATGTATCATTAAAATATGCAATTTTCTTCCTATGTTTCTATAATGCATTTCTTTTTAAAGCTAAAACCCATGCAGAAAAAATAAGTGATATCTTCAAACTCATTCAACAGTTTGCTATTTTATGTGGAATGTAAATGAAGTCCTTTATTTAATTTTATATACATTAGGCATTATTATATTTTCCCTGAAGGAATTCAACTTTCAATGTCGAAATTAGTATGTGTTTAAAAATGTGAGGACATTTTCTTGATGTTATTACTAGCTGCAAATACATTCTTCCATAAAAATGCACTTTCAGATTTCATTGGAAAGACAGTATGAGCCTTTTTAAAGTCCTAAAACAATATTTATAAAGGAAAGAGAGCATGAAAGTCTCAAGAAATCCTCTTGTTTCGAAACATGAACACATTCTCACAGGATTTTTATTTGATCACAATTTGGACAAGAAAAGTTTAGTCCTACTCTTTTTGATGCTAACATAGTTTCACTGGTATGGATTTTCAAACCCATTTAGATCCAGTAGGGTCTTTAACATACAGCCTTATGATTATAAAAGAAACTGATTATACTTACAGGAAAATGATATGTACCAGGCATTTAATCAGAAAAAGAAAAATGAGAACATACTTTTGTTTGATACTACTCACTATTCTTCCAGTGATAACATTTCCAGCTTCTGTGTTATTGTTTGATGGCAGTTTTAGTAATTTATCCAGTAATGTATGCATATATAAATATAAATATATTACTCCATGTTCGAGTTTAGGCTGAATTAAAACATTTGATGTTATGTTTTTACTTGTGTAAATTATAACTGTGGCTAGCACTAAATAATAGATATTAGCACATATAAATTTATATAAAATTCCCTGAACAAGAGTTTTGGAACTTTTAAGCAAGGTTTGCCTAATTTCTTTTGGTGATTATAATTATTCTTACAACTTTTATTGAGTGTTCCATCAAGACATTTTATCAGTAGGGAGTATTTTTTACTCAAACTATTTTTTGATCAGCTTAGGTTAAGAGAAATAAATTTGATATACATTGGACTAAATTACTAAAATATTGAATATAGTAGAAAATAATCTAGAGTCCCAGAGCAATCTAAATATGTAGACATTGATCTAAAATTCTTTTAATGGGATAATAAGGTGTACACAACTTTTGCCTTGATAAATTCTGAGGTCTTCCAGAGGAGAAGATCCTTCTGCATTCTGCGCTTTGGACATGACAGAAAGATGCAGTGGCAAGACAAAATGAATTCCATCTTGAAGAAAGATCCCCATTACTGTTCAATACTTCCTAGCAATGTGAATCTGGGAAAGTTATGTCAATTTTCTGAGCCTTAATTTTCTTCTCTCTAGATGAAATAATGATATCTACTTCACAGGGTTATGATGGAAATTGAATGAGATAATATATACAAAAATGTCTACCACAGAGCCTGGAATACAATAAGTGGTCAATAAACATAAATAGTAAAGAATCTTAAACATTTCTCAAATATCTGTAGAATAAAACACTGACTGAATCTAGCTTATTGGATGTACACCTACACAGGGCAGAAGGACCCAACTCTCCCTATTCTGCTCACCGTGGCCACACTGAGAGGTAATTGTTTTAGCTGCGGCAGGCTTCATTCACAGATCTATCCTGGGGACTCTGTCCTTCAGCCTCTCTGCAAGATTCTGCCCCTTTCAGCCTCCATCACTCAGGCTGGTGTGGGGCCTCTCTCCTACCCATGACCAAACAAAAAGTGTGGAAATGTGCATGCGTGAGCCTTTTTTTCCTTTACAAGCAAGTGCAAGAACCCCATTGCTTTAGCAAGTTCAATGCAGTGTGCTGTCACTCCTTATGCTGCAGCATAAGTCCTAAGAAAGCCTCCTCCAGGCTGAACAGGTACACTAGGCACTTATAATATCAAAGGCCCTGGCACCAAAAGCCTCCAGAGCCAGGGCCGATAACATTAAAGGCCACTAGTGCCGAAAGCTTTCAGTGGTTGGGCTCAAGCAGCACAGAACAATGAAGAATAATGAAGAATAGCCAGGAGCTGCCACCTCTGGTGGTGGGAAGAGTCCCCACAGTGGCCAGGAGGGCAGCTTACGCTGAAGGAGCTGATGCCACTGGCAGTCAGACACTAAAAGAGGCATTACCGTGAAAACAGTTACCCAGAACCCTCCGCTGACTGGCAACACCTTGGTGTGGGAAACTCTCCTGTTCGAGGGCCCCAAAGGATGGACAGCAGCGATGGCGCCAGCCGGCTCAAGAACCAGTGCACATTCGGTTGCCATCTTACATACGGCTAAAGACCCACTCTCGCTAGCAACAAAAGTAGCCATATACCTTTACAACTATAATTAAACATTTTGCTTGGCAAGATCTTTATCTCGGCTCTTTTGGAGCTGCTAAGGCAAGAGACTGCAATTAAATACAAAGGGTCATCAGAAAGTACGGTGTGTGTTTAAATAAAAAAAATCATGTGCTTTTATGGGATGTGATAAAAAATACGGTGAATGTTGCTGCCAAGTACCACGCAATAGACAGACTCATAAAAATACTACCGTATTTTTATTTAAAATACTACCGTATTTTTATTCTCTTATTTTTGTTACAATGTTTTTATATTATTATTCTATTTTATTATATAAATATTACTTGTTCACCTTATTCACCATATCTGGCATGTTTAACTTTCAGCTCTTCCTAAAAGTCAAAATGACCATGAAAGGTAAATGACCAATTCAGAATACTGAGGCAGCCAGGACAGTGCAACTAAAGACATGAAAGCATACTTCCAGAACTGTTTCACAAAGCGGCAAAGAGCAACGGAATAAGTTGTGTTCAAAGCAAGGACAAGTATTTGGAGGGGAATTAATGGCAATGTATATTTTACTGTAATATTTTAAGTTAAACCACAGTGTTTTTCAGTTAGACTGTGTAAAATTTCTGGACGATCTCTAGATTTAAAAAATTTGGTAGGTCTGCTATAAAGTGTTCTTGTACTTGTTTGACTAAGTGTTGGCTCTGATTTTATATCCTGACTTTCTTTTAGTAATGGGGTCATTGCACCTTTCATCTGGAAAATGAAGGTCTTGTGCTGAATTTATTTTGAACTCTGAGAACAGACAATTCTGGCAATGGCCACAAATATAGATTAAAATTAAAGGCTACTTTGCTATGAATCACCTCTGTGTTCTAGACTCTAAAATGGAAAACTGAGGGGATGGTTGACTGTCTATATAGTCTGAGGATGGGGAGCTGGTAAGGGGTGTGATGATGAAGCAGGGGTCTAACTACTTTTGTTCATTCAAACAAAACGCAGAAATGTATTTGTTCATTAAAATTTTTTTTCAGTGCTGGGAACTGATCCCAGGCTATCATGCCTACTAGGCAATTGCTCTACCACTGAGCTACACCCTCAACCCACCATGTAATATTTTCACATGATTTTTCTTTCATTGAGCTTTCTTTTTTTATAGCACGAAAGCAACCAAAACTAAGAAAAACTGCATTCTTTGTGAAAAACTGCATTCTTCCCATACCTGGACACAACCAACAATACTAAGGAATCTTATAATGAGTAAATTATATTGCTGTTAATGGCAATGCATTTTACAGACAAGGTTTTCTCTTTGCTTGCTGGAGATCCTATATCAGGCAGGATCTCACAGTTATGCCATTTGCTAGCTTTATATGGCCAGCACAGAGATGCCGGGAAATGCCCAGTCAGTTGGCAAAGGAGAATATGAGACCGGCAGGACAGGAACACTGAGACTCAGCGTCCCTTTCTAAAAGCAGTACTGTAATCATTCAAGCTCCTGTTATAAATGCCGTCGCAGAGATCATCACGCCCATCACTGAGATTATGGAAAGACAAACCTGTTCAGATTTGAGGAAATTTACTTTGAGATGTGTCTTTTAAAGTCATTTTGCATGAAAATAATAACTAGAACTTCACTGTACAGTTATAACCCTGGCTGAATAGACTTCAGCTTTTACATCTGTCCAGTTTATGAGCAGTCAAAGCTTCATACCTATTTGATATGCAGAGATTTCAGAAAAAGAAAAGAGACATATTTTCTGCATTAAGCATTTAGTGATTCTGCCCTGCTTTTGCCCCTTTTTGGCTTAAAAATGGTCAAGCAAGTGTTACATTTTAATTACAATAAAGAACAGAATCTGCATGTCACGTACTATGTTTTAATTACACAACAACATGGGATCTGAGCCTAGTGATTCTGTGTTAAGAATGGCAGTAAAAGTCTAACATAGATATCTCAGGCCATATGAGAGAGGGTGATATGGAACTACTTTCCTCCGCTAAAAGGACTCAAAAGTAGTCTATCTTGACTCTTGCCTTTCTGGAGTTTCTGGACTACTTTAAAAATTATGTTGGCTTGGCATATGTTGGTCATTTAAAGTGCTGCCATGGCACGGTACGTTGAAGTAGTACTGACTTTGGTGTATACACAAAGCAGAAAGTTAACCTGAAACAATTCGAGTGTGATAATCATTGCTTTCTGCATGGACAGGGAATAAAAACAGCCTTGGAGATTCTTGGCCTGCTGTGGCCAAGAAGCCTGACTCACTTTATAAACACAGCTATACTTGGGGATGTCCTCTTTAGGACTGCAAAATAGTAAATGTGAGTAAGAGAAGACTTTCCACAGACCTGTACCTTCTTTGTAAAGTCTTAAAGGTCTAACAGCATGGTGGTACAGAAAAATTATGGTTCCTTATAAGGAACTTCTGTGTTGCTTATTTTATTTTCTGTTTTATAGAAGTGAAATTAGCATATATTTTTAGTTTATGTGCTTGCTTATGCATCTCTAAGCAGGCTTTTGATTTGGCAGTTGAAAAGCAATGTAAAAATTAATAGTACTTGATTTTTATTAACCACCCCCAACATCTCAGATTTTTTTCTTTAAAAACTCACAAAACAGTTAAAAATTGTATCTTATAGAGAAGAATGTATCTGGTTGTATCATTTATTGACTTAAAAATATACCCAGAGTTTTCAGATAAAATCTTTTCAGACAGAATCTATAACTAGATAACAAGCAAAGATTTCCTACTTTGCGTATACACTGTGCAAGACCTAGGGCACTCTATCTGTTGGTATCCCTAAATTATTACAGAAAAAATTCAAGTTCAAATTAAACCATTTTGAGTCCGAAATTCTAAGAGGAAAACAAATGACAAAACACCATCACCAGAAACATATAATCATCATAAGACTGAGAATCTTAGTCACAGCCCCTGAACCTCTCCTGTCACTTAAATATGACAATTATCAGCTCCAACACAGACTTTGAGGACTTTATAATTAGTCATATTCAACATTCTTGCAATCTAACGAGTCTAAAATCCAATGCCTGCTGTATCGGTTTACTTTTTGGATTTAACTGTAACGCAGATACTTAGAATAACAAAAGTATCTCTCCCTTTATGTCTCTGAATATAGAACATGTAATCCTTGTATAATAAATGAAAATTCCAGCAGAGAAGCACCCCCCCACACCACTACACACACGCACACACACTTTCTCTTTAGAATGTTTCCAGTCTCACCACTGCTTTTTCCCTGATAGTGTCCCCATTCTTGCCCTCTATCCATTATTGTCTTTGGCTCCCCAGGTTTGCGTTCCAGGGAAGCTGCTCTTGGCAACGCCCCAACCCTTTCTGTGGGTACGGCAGGCTAAGCATATGCAGCGGTGGGGAGCCCTTCTCACACCTCCCCTGCGATTCACCTGCAGGGATGCTGTGCCTCTCATCCTGGTTTCCTGTCTTCCTTCTCCGGCTACCGTAGCACAGACCTCTTCAAGTGGACTTGGTCAGCAGCAGCTGCCTGCTGTGCTCCCCGCTGCTGTGCTACTGCTGCGCTCTACCGGAAGGGGCTGCCCAGACACACTGAGCGACGCTTTGGCAGAGTTTAAAGACTAAAAAAAAAATCCCCAACACTTTCATTTATCATCCCTGGAGAGCTCTCAGCAGGACCAGCTGAAGAGGGCCACTGAAATGTGTTTTTGTCTTCAGTTTTTCCTTTCCGTGACATTAACTCCCTCCACTTCAGTCATCTCACCTCCCAGCTCCCAATTCACAGCTCCCAGTCCCTCGGTGTGAACACACATCCATTTCAAGAATACATCGCTGGTTTGTTTGCAATGCACGTGGGAATTTAATGCAGCCCAAGAATTCACAGTTTTTTTTTTTCTTTTTCTTTTTTCTGGTTGTTGTTGTTTCTTGTCTTTTCTCTCTACATCTCTACCACTCCTTGACAAAAGGGATAACAAAACAACAAAACAAAAACAAAACAAACCCCCAAAAGTTTTGTCATTGAACAGAATCACAATTTTCATGATTTTAATTCAAATGGAAAAACAGATTGTGCCATTCCGTTCAATAAACAGTCCTCTTTCTCTGCCACACAGCGTAATATTCATGAGCATGCAGTGGCTCCGAGGGCAATCCTCATTATATAAGGCCCTAGGAATGCACAAAGCCACGCACAATCCATCCTTTGTGGAGTCTGTGTGCAGACCCAGGCAGACGCGTTTGCTGGCATTTCCTACCGTTCTAATTGCTGTCGGGATTCCAGATTCGTCCACAGGCCCGATTCCTGGGTAATGCGGGGCTTTGATGACTGTCACCCTCTTCTCTTCCTCAGAGGATCTGTACAGGGGTATTGAACTGCCTGTGGTGCCGTCCAGAGACTGAGCATGCTGGGAATATGTCTCTGAGGAATCTGTGGAGATTATTCGGTGAAATATAATATGTTGTGTAGGACCCACAAAGAAAGATAAATTAAAGGTGCCTCTTGTACATTTATGCCACCTGTAACTAGAGTCCATATTTCTATCACCATGTCTTTTGGCTCATTTACTTTACATCCGGGTCACCTGTGTCATTGATAGTTTGTAAACACAGGTTGTACCGGGCGGTAACAATGGAAACCTCTCCACCTTATGAAGAGTGGTGAGAGGAAGAGCAGTACCGGATGAATCACAGTGCCAGCCACCGTGGCTTAAGCACTTGATAGGTTTTACCTCGTCTTTCCTTTCTAGGAATCATGGGAGCAAGAATCAATTTTAGAGGTGAGGGGACAGAAACTAAGAAAAGTCTAGTAATTTCTCTTAGTCCATAATTAACATTAATATTATTCTTGAGGTACTGCTGGACACCATCGTTTAAAAGTACTGAAATGTATGTTTCAATAAAAGATAGGGAGTTGAGTGAATAACAGTGATTCTATAAAAGTAAAGTGAAACCAAAATAACTTTAAAAATTTTTCATCCACACATATTCTTGGATGTAATGACTTCTGGATCAATACATACTTTTAAATTATTAGTAGTAATTGAACATTACTTAAATAGCCTAGATGGCTAAAATACCAAAGCCATTACTGTTTGTTCTTGGAGGACAACAACTGCCCTAAGGATATAAATTAGCTGAGGTTTATCAAATTTCTATGTGTGTGTTGTCTTTATCAACTTCTAACGTACTTTTAGAAGCAACAGAGAATACATATATGTACTATATATTCTACTTACTGAGTCAAAAGTACTTTTGAAAGTCAACACACTTGCTGTTCGCCTGGTACAGTTATTAATAGAACTTTCTTTTTTTCTGTAATTAATATCAACATTGGGGTGACCAACCATGACACTTTGTTTATACTGTTTATGCCATGCTTTGGTAGATCTGTTACTCAGAAAGTTCTTTTGTATAGAAATGGGAAAGGTCTCCATATTTCAAGGTAGGATTCATTGCTATAACTATATATATATAGGGATACACATTCACATAATGAACATATACATGACATATAAACTACATTTTTCCTGAAAAATTTGAATAAGACATTATAAGTAACCATTTAAAAATTAACTCATCTTTGTAAAGATAATTAGAGTTAAAGTCTGTTTAAGGTAAAATTCATTAAAATATGTATAATTGTTATTTCTGTTATTATGGCCATTTTAAATTTATTTTGCAACAAAAAATCATTTTTAATACATTTTTGAAAATGGATGAAGGTAGAAATGAAACTGCTTGTATGTCATTGGATGTAAAGTCATGTCTTTCTCAAGCTACTTCAAATTAAGAGAAAATGAAATATTTGATTCTGATTAATTACTTAATTCTGAAAAAGGCTTCAGAGGGTAACTATATGCTAGTATTTCTATTAGCCTCAATTTTTTTAACACCTACTATGTGCATAAGTGCCAGCCTAAGCAAACTGCATTGCTCCTCACACGGGTTCATAAGACTGTATAAACCTGTAGGTTAGGCAGTGGAAGTTAGTCCTTTATTTGACTACTTTCTTAAATGGTCTTATCTTTGCAATCTTTCATCTTCAACTAAGTACAGTGCCTACCTAGGGCAGAGTGGACTTGCAAATTCTTCTTCTGTCACAGCATTGGCCAGCTGAAATTTGTTCAATGTTTATAAGAGGATTTTTTTCTATGTAATACGGTTTATATTTAAAATGTACCCACTGATGTGCTCTAAGATCAAAGTCCTTCTATAATCAAATATTTATATCTTTTTGTTTGGTAAGGAGGGGCTGAGAATGGAGACGAAAACTAAGAAAGGCAGTGAGATAAAGAATCACACTTTTATGCTTATCTGGGGAAATGTTGCGGTGAGAATAATTTAAAGTTTTATTTTCAGGTGTGCTGATAATTCATAGCTCCACTACCAAAAAATCTAGATATAGTGATAGTATAATATCAAACTACGGTGTGATTGTGAGAGGGAAAATTTTTGGCACAGGAAGGTCTACTTTCTTATACTCTAAAATCACTATCAGATTCATAGATGATTCCCAAGAGTAGTATTAGAGGGGGCACAAGTATATTTAGACTTTTCCTTAATGAGTCCCTTGATTCTACTTAGTCTGATAGAGGCTCTTGTGACCTTAGAAACTGAGTTCTACCAAGTTCATGCTGGATGTTGACATAAAAAGTTCTTTAGCAAACGAGGGGCATCATATTCTTTCCAAACAGGATCATGTTGGGAAGGCAGAGGGGGCGAAGTTCTGTATTCTAGTTACTGTCTGTTTTGGATTTGTGGTGGCCAGGGGATGGGCCTTCTCCTTTCCTGAGAAGCACATGAAGACCTGCTCTCCTTGCCTTCCTCTCTGCTTCTGGAAGCTTTCTAGTTTCTTCGTATCATGGAAAATTTTTCATTCGCAATTTGTATGTTGGTTCTATTAGGGATGTTCTAAAGAGTCTTTTGGGTTTCTAAAATTGCATTTTTAAAAACTAAGAAATATTTATTACCCTATTTTTAAAAATATGCTAAGATATTTTACCACATAAGAGTGTTTCTACCTTTATATAACACAGCATTTTTTCCAGGAGGCTTCAAAATGATATGCTTAATTTTTAAAAAATTAAAATGCTCATATGTTCACTTTTCCCCCTGGAGAGCTATATCTTCTATCTAACACTTAATACCCAAAGGGCGAAAACTTATCTCAGTAAAATTATGGCATCATCACTTAAGGGACCTCTTAAGTTTCTCTTGTTTGGCTTCCTTGACTGATAGCCATAAGGCCTCAGTTTGAATAGTAATTTATGCCTCTGAGCCAGTACAATACTGCTTTACCACTGTGTGAGGCAGTCGCCCCTGTTGTGCAGCATATCTGTGATAACAATTCTTCCTTTGACGTACAAACTAAGGAAAGGTCTACCATGAAGCGCTTCCACAAAAGAACAAGTGACCTTAATGGAAAATATTAATATTAATTAATATATTCTCTGCATAGTGTAGAAGCTCCTCTCCCTAACTGGGTATCATATTTTTCGTTTCACCCTACACCTCAAACACAGAATTGACATCTCCAGGCTGAGACACAGGTGGAGTCATTGTCTGCATAGCTGGGTGCCTCGCTTCTGCAATGTGAACTCCCCTGCCCCAGTTCCTCCCTGGGAAGGATTACCAAATAGTGGTGTGTTGAGCACTCCTGTTTCACTTTGCTGTCTTATATTTCTCTCGGGTGGTTTGCATTCTCATGGGAATCATGGTGACCAAATTACTTACCAAGAGATCTGCCATGCTGCATGATAAGGCTGGAGTTGAGGGATCCTGGGAGAGAGTATGCTGAAGGGGAAAACGGCCTTTGGTAGTAACTCATTGGGCTCACAGCACCGCCAGAGTTGCCATTCACTGTTATCTGGCTCTGAGAAGAGTGCAGAGGCATCTTGTTATAGCACACAGTTCCCTGTCAACATCACTCCTTTGGTGACAAAAAAGTCCTCCAATCACAAGACACTAATCAACTGCCAAGTTTTTATTTATTTTAAAAACTGATGTCAGAGGAGCAGGGTACGTGTTTTCAGTGTCTTCTCTCTCTACTTCTGAAAATAATTTTTTCATACATCTGAGGGCAATGCTGGAGGTTAGGAAGGATGGAAGCAGTTGGCCAGTGGGCATGCCACTTTGCCAACAGAGGTGCCCAATGGTATCAGCAGAAGCCACTGCAAAATAAATGCAGAGGACAACTGTGCTCTTGGGATCATGACTTAAGTAGTCAGATCACTGTCACACTACTTTACATGCAGTATTTGAGATGAATGCTCTCTGGGATGAGGAAAAGAGCTGGTTCTCAGACTTAGGGATGTTTTCTAGTGAATGAACGCTTCCCATGCAAGGTGATTAACCTAAGGAACACAGTTCACTGGACTTACATATCATAGAGCAATTTATTCTAGAAGAGTCACACAGCTGGTAAAGTACCATCAGAAAGATGTGACAAAATGTTGACTTTTTCAACATTTAGTACTCTAATTTCTTAATAATTTTTGTTTGATATGTGAGTGTTTTACATCACCAGTGCTACTTCAAGTTTCTTCCTGGAGAGGGTCATGCATATACTTCTTTAATAATTTTTATAACATGCACCCTGGTACTAATGGTATAGTAGATATTCATGGTAGATAATAATTTCACATATCTAACTGAATTTGAGCAACTTACTCACAGAAGTTGAGTTTTTGACTATCTTGCTACAGCACAACAGTCAGCATTATGGCAATTACATAAATGCATGCAAAGGAAGCAGAACCTTAGTTCAGAACATTTAGTTAAAATTCTCTTAGAACACATGCACATAAAGACCCATAATTTGTGAACGCATTCTATTTGTTTTGAAATGAAATAAAGTTCTATTAAACAAGCTTGAACTAGAGAAGTAACTGCATATATCCATGCTTTGACTTTAAAATAAGTTATGTTTCAATGACATAAAATAAATCTAATTTCATTACTTTATAGCTATATGTTCTAAAATCAATAGCCATATATTCCAAAATCAATACATATTTCTTTATAAGGATTGTACTTCTGAAGTACTTTCTTTAAGTTCTTGGAAAAATTGCTCTTATATTATAGCCAACTATATTTTGAGGAATCTTCTAGCTGAAGAGAACTGGACAATCAAATGACTGTGAGGCACAGTCCTGATCAGATGCTTCAGAGCCTCTGTGTACCTCTGAGGAATGATTTGAGAATATTTTTATCTCTTGCCTAAATCAAGGTTGGTGGATCCTTACAAATTTAATCTTAATGTTATTATTATAATTAATGTTAAAAGTAGAAGAATCATTTAATTGAAGATCACCAGGTCGCTAAGACAAGAAATAGTGCAGATTTCTTGAATTTTGGAATATTTATATATAAATGTGTGTATATATGTACATATGTATAATGACATATATTGGGAATGCCCCCAGGCTAAATATGAAATTCATTTATATTTTATATACACCCTATACACATAGCCTGAAGAAAATTCTATGCACCTGAATTTTATTGCAGCTCATCACTTGAGGTCAGGTGTAAAATTTTCCACTTACAAAGTCATGCCAGTGCTCAAAAAATTTCATTATCTGAAGCATTTTGGATTTTGATTTTTGGGGCTAGGGATAGTAAACTTAAGAAACTGGCTCTGAATTCTATTTTGATGGTTCCAGTAATGATTAGGGACTTTTAAAAACACTAAATGTGTTGTATTTGTAAAACTGATTAAGATTTTACTAACTAAATAATACCATTAGAATTTTGGGAAATACTTTATAGTGAATTGTTATCTTATGGAGGGTCTATGTGTAATAAACTGATAACTAGAATTAATTTGTTACAAGTCTCTGATTAGTATACACAAAACTATATACATAACTGAAAATCTCAAAGAGAATCCCAATGAACATCCCAAAGACATCCTAAAGAGAAAATTGAAAAGGCTATTACAAATATTAATATATTTTCACTGCTTTGTATTTTTATTTTTGCTAAAGGTCCTGATAGCATTTCTTAAGTATTTAAAAGTTAATAATCATTTAAAGCACAGTAGGACATGGCAAGGACCTATCCCTGTTGAGTACGTGGTACCAGGAGCTGTCTGTCATCTATGGAGGAGAGAAGGATTTTGGTGGTGCTAGCTCTGGAAAATGTTTTAGCTGGCGTAATTGTCCTGCTGATGTCTATTGGTTTATTGAAAGGAACAGTTAATGTTTAAATTTTTTTTTTGACCAATTTTGCATGCTTGTGTCTGGTAATCTGAATAACTAATTTGAGGACAACAATACGCAGTATAACAACTATTGTTGAATTTCTACCATCTTGTCTAGTGAAGCTCTGTATCATTTCTAATGTTTTTAAAATCATTTTTTATTCCTTTAGTTGTTTGATCAGTCTTGCATTCTTACCTCTGGTGATCTCAGCAACTTTCTTGAATATAACATTATGCAGTATAACAACCATTGTTAATTCCTATCATCTTGTTTTGAAATCCCATATAGTTTTTATTGGTTTTGTGTTGTTTTGATTCTGTCTTTATTGTTGTTATTTTTTTCTCTTTAATACATAAAAAGGAAAACATGTTTTTCTTTACTAAAGGATTTATTAGGATTTCCTTTTAAATATGAACTCGCCAGTGTTTGTCATATGATTGAAGTTAATAAATTGTTCTTCATAAAAAAAAGAAGAAAATGTTTTATACCCAGCCATTGGGTGAATATTAAGTCAATCACAAAAGTGTCTTTCACTTCCTTTTATTGCCATGTAGTTAATAGCTGGCTTATTATAACATTACTGTATGCATGAAAATTGTCTTTGATAGAATATAGAAACTATGTAGCATAAGTAAAATGTGGTTTATGACAATGCTTATTTGGAACTTTACCATAATATCAGTTTCAGGAAAATAATTCCTGTTTTTATCCAAAGTTATTTGCCTTTCAAATGGATACCACTACTGCTATATCACATGTAAATGAAAATTTGTGCCATAATATTTTAAAGTATTTTAGCTATTTATAAGTCATTTATTATGGAATGCTTAAAATCTAGACATATCTTAATAATGTAATATGCATGAAAATATTTACATATTGCCACAAATGGATGACATATTATTGATATATGAAATAAAAAATAATAAATTTCTATCGTGGAATGGCTCAGGAAGAATAACTGCAACTAAATCATAAGGCTAAATTTCTGTAATGTAGATTAAGGTTATTTGTATCATTAGATACAGCTGTTAATGAAGAAAGAGCGAGAAGAATTAGCATGATGCAGTCAGTAATCACTTAGGTGAGAAACACAAGACATATCAGATGGTTAGGAATACTGTTATCTGTAAGTTATTAATACGAGGTTAAAAAATTTGAAACATTTTGGACTTTTTCTGTAATCTAACCATAACCATTTATGATATATACTTATCTAAATTTCTGAGATAGCTTCTTATTAAGGCAAATCACTGTATAACTAAGTTACCATAGCAACACAGTAAACCATTCTGGAATAACCATAAGTAACTGTAAAATGAATGAAGAGACTGTAAGTAAATGTTTAGTGCAAAGTAGGATTAATAAGAATGACTGCATTGGATTTCCCTGACAGATGGTATAGAATCCGTTTACTCATCAACACCTATGCAAACACAAGTGCTCAGCTGCAAAACAAGATGGCAGAGAAGAAATCAATCCTTTTCAAAAAATGGTGGAGGCGAAGGAAGGAAGAATAATTACATGAGTGGCAGCAGGGGTGGTTAAGATGGTGCCATCTGTCACAGCAGACCTCTGACCCCAGGTTGGGGAAGGTGTCTCAGACCAGTCAGTGGTGTCAGAGTTACCCATCTGCAGCTCAGCCAGAATGGCTGTGGAGGACTCGCTCTCGGAGCGGGAGGAGTCTGTCCTGAGAGAACCCGTGTCGCGGCTGTGGATAAGGCGTTCAAGAGCTGGGGTGGGGTGTTTATATAAACAGTGGGGAAAGCTCTGAGGGTTATACAGGCATGAAGGTCCCAGATCATCAGGTGCTGATGCTGGGCTGGAGCCACTGCCTGGTGAGAAAGTGGTTTGGTTAAATGGAATCGCAGGACAAGGGCATGAAGAAGAGGCTTCTGATGCAGTTTGTCTGTGTGTCTGTGAAGCATTTACCTCCAACACACTGGCAGTTAAGTGCTGATTTTCACGCTGAGATTGAGGAAAAATAATAAGAAAAGATATAAATTATCCAGGTAACAAAAAAACATTTCTTGGTTTGCAATATGGCAGACAAGGAAAAGCCTGGGTTTTATTTGCAAGCACTTCAAAGAAACACATTCATGGATTAGGTAGCAAGCACGCAGCACAGAGAAAACATGAAAACATGAAGAAAATGAATCCAGTCAGTGTTTTCTGGGAACAAGACCAGTTTTCACACAGCACTTCAATGTGAGTTTGGGTAGGGACACAAGAGGGTTGACATAATGGAATTTCTTCCCTAGAAGTTTTAGTGTTTGTCCTGGTGACAGTGAAATGCTATCAGATTGTCTGCTGGTTGAATGATTAATTTGATTTTTACAAGAGCCATCTTGTAGCATCGTTGTTCCTATCCCTTCCACACTATCAAAATGTCTCCAAATTATTAGTCAATTTGCTTCATTTCCCCCTGACTTACGGATTTAAACATGGATCAAACTAAAAACGACTAAGTGGAAAGAGAATTATTTTCTTTCCTTTCCACTCATTGAATCTGTTCTCTGATTTCACTACAAAATACTAAAAGAAATGAAATTTAATATATCATAGCAGTGTAAATGGGGGTACCTATGTGTGAAAATAAAACCAGCCAGTGATAATGGTTAGAAAGTACTCTAGTTGGTTAGAACTACTGTTGGTACTACATTTTAGGTAAAGGAGAAAGAAACTGCAGGGAAAACAAAGGTTTTAAACTGTTCCCCACCCCCACCCCACAGCTGTACATAACCCAAGAGGCTCAGCGTGCCAGAGAGATTGCTGGCAGCCAGAGGGGACATGATGGCCCATTATGTTTCTGCAGCTCGCTGCTATAACCTTGAGGGAATATGATCACAAATGTCAACTCTGATGGTAAGCCTCAAACTTGCATGAATGAATGAGTGTATGAATGGATGAAACTCTAAAGCATTTTCCCTCTTTATTCTTCCTGCATTCCAGAACAGTTTCTGGTGTTTGAGAGTTTCAGTTAAAATGGCTGGAAACATAGTGAGATATTAGTGCAAAGATGGGGAATGAGTTAGCAAGAAATGTATAAACTTAGAAATATTGCCTAGTAAAGATTTAAGTGGTGCCATTTGGTGTTCCTGGCCAGTACGATTTTCATAACAGTTGATGTCATGCAGGCTGCTGGCCTCATGAAAGTCATCATTAATTCCTTTTTTTACCCAGACTTTTGAGTACTTTAAAAATCCATATAAAAAGGTCTCTTTGGGTCATAGATCTCTTAGAAATATGTTGAAAGTTATTGATTCTTTTCTTTGGAAAAAAGCACAAATTCACAGGCACATAAAATTCTGCATAAACTTCAGGGTTTCACAGACAACCTAAAGTGCATCCTTGATCTAAGGTTAAGAACAACAACACTAGATAAAAGACAGATGGCCTGCTCCATTTTTATTTCATTTGTTCTTTTTGTTGTTGTTTAACCATGGTCATTGTAGGTGTGATACATTTTATTTTACTGTTTGTAGCTTTACAATCTCTAGGATTAACTGACAGAGATATTCATTCCCCAGACATAAAATGTCTTAATGCAAACACAGCCTTATATTAGTAAATATTTATAGTAATTACAGGTTTCATGGGAGGTAAAGCTACAATATTATAAAACTATAATAATTATAGTTTAGTACATTAAAATTTTGCCTCAAGCCTGAGTGGAATTCAGGTATAAACAATCTTTGGATAGTATTATTGGACTGTCTCATTGTAATGGAGTTTCACTCTGATAGTCTCTACATAAAATGGATTTTTTGAGTTTTACTTATGCTAAGTGAAAATTCTGTTAAATGGTATCAATCATAATACAGATTTGAATTATCCGCTCGTGTGATTTTTTTCCCTTTAAAATTAGGACAAATATAATGATTTGGCTCTACTGATTTGTTCATATCCTTCGACTTGAAATGTGTCAAAAGCTAGAACATGTTTTTTCTGAAATCATCATGGTCATAGGCAATCGATAGGATCGTGAATTTGGTTTTACGGTACTGTGTCTGAGAATGGTCTGTATCCATTCATTTGTTCTTCTGAAGGGTTTCCAGCGCTATTCCATATCACTCAGTGCCTCCAGACATGCTCACAGTTTTAAGTCTTTGTGTCTGTGTAATGTGAAATGCCCCTCGATGAATCACTTCATGCTTAAGTTTTATAGCTAAAACGATAAAATTCAGTGGTTGGCCAGCCCCAGATGCTTTGAACTATCAAACCATAAGATGTCAATTACTTTTTAGACTACAGACTCGGGCTCCTTTTACTTGACCCTCATCTCCACAGTAAGGAAAACCCTTGAGACGCTGGAAGACGGAGCCACCTCATGTATGATTCCTCAGGAGAGCTGGAGAAGAGGGGCAAAACAAGAACAAATAAAACAAAACCCATGAAAAAGGGAAGGAGGAAGAATTTTCTTCACCTGAAAAAAAATCTAGAGTGGGTTTATATAAAAATCAGGCTTTACCTCCCATCTGCAGTTCTCCCATCATCTCCCTCCTTTCTGACAGCTTTTTCTAAGAGGCTGGGGAGAAGGGCCCAGCAGCTGCATCTGTACTAAGAAGCATAGTTTCATGGCCCCAGAAGACTGGATAGGAGGAGAAATAGCAGGACTAGACTTGGGCCAAATGGGTCCTCCCTCCTGCCTGGGAATTTCTGTTATATAATTCTGAACGTCCCAGTCAGGTAGTTGTATGTTAGGTATCCAAATGGAAGAAACAAGTATGTCACAGAAATTCACACACAACTTGAAATAGGGAGAGGGACAAAACTAAGAGAGAAGAGACACAGAATTGTGCAGCACCTAAGACTGACTTGGCATTCCCCAGTTTACTGAAGGTCTGCCTGCTATACTGCTTGTATTTCAATGATACAAGGTCATCCTATAGTCTCCTACTAAAAATCTTTTTAATAGGCAATCTTGACAGCCACGCAGTCCCTACCATAGTTCAGGGTCACAGGGGAACTAGAACAGGGAGACATTACATCCAGCTTCTTATGTGCATTACCTTATTTGAACTTCATAGTAACTCTCTGAGATAAACGTTATTAGTCCTATTTTATAGATGAAGAAACTGAGGTTCAGGGAGGGCGGATAACAGATGAAGCCTCGTATGTTAGTAACACCACGAAAGGGTTGTTATCCAGGTGTTCTGCTCATAGTCTTCCTCAACCCCACTCCCGGAACGTTCCCCTCCCCACTACTAAGTCGAGGTTAAGTGCGCAGACCTCATCCTGCACTCGCCCTCACAGCAGCAGTTGCACGGTTGGCCCCCTCATCTGCTCACGGGTTCTCCTCCTTTGGCTCTTGGCACGCTGCATTTTCCTAGACTTCTTGCTCCCTCTGAGACAATCTTTTTAGACTTCCTGGCCGTTTCTGCCTTTCATGTTAAGACATGCCTGAGCTCAGTTCTCAGGCTTCCTCTCTTCTCCATGCTCACTTCCTGGTGATCTCAGCCTCATGGCTACAGAGTCATCCAGAAGCTGACGATTTTACCTCTAACCTAGACTTCCCCCCGGACAAGAAACTCTCCTCCGCCTGGACACTCTGCCTTCCTTGTGGACATCTAAGAGACATCTTAAACTCACCCGTCCCAGTGGTACCCAACGTGCCCCACCCACAGCTGTTTGGCTCAGCGGATGGCAGGTTCATCCTTCCCACTGGAGTTGACCTCCTGCTCCTTCGTGCATCCTGTGTGTGATCTGCCAGGAAGCCTTGCTGGCTTGACTGTCAAAATACATCCACACATATGGATTTCTCACCGTCTCCATCATTTCCACCCTGCTTCCGACCACAGTTATTCCTTACCTAAGCTACTGTTATCTTTCCTAGCTGAGTTACCTGCTCTCCTCCTTGCCCCATTCTAGTGAGTTCTCAACTGAGCTGCTAGAATGATTTGGTCAGAACGTAAAAGTTAAATAATAGTGGCAGGAGCTTACATATCGCATGGCTTCTCTTATATGAGACTCCCAAAATGTAAGTAAAAGAAAAAGCAAAATAAAAGATAATTAGAAACAGATATAGATCTTTTGCAAAGGGGAAGATGACCAAGAGATGTGGAGAGGAGAAAAAGGGGAATAGAAGAGGATAAAATAACCCATTTAATGCCAAAGCTCATTCATATGTTCCCTAGAAAAATATGAGGAACAAGAATTTGAAGAGAAAATTTTTTATGTTCCATTGTTATGTGCTGTTCCAAGAAAATGGAACACTAGGCATAAAAGGATTAAGATATGCTGTGTATATGTCCCAGCTCCGCACAAGGAATGTACTCGTTATGTACTGCAGACACGTACTGATAAAAATAAAAATTGAAAATTATATAAAATTAGAAAAACTAGTGGCTGTGTCGAAGTCCTTCAGTGATCCTCATTTTTATTGAGTAGAAAAGTCAAGGTCCTGCAATGATGGGCAAGGACTTCTGCAATCTGGCTTCTGTTACTTCTGACTTCATCTCCTGTTACTCTGTGCTTCACTTCCTCTCCACCTGTGGCCTCCCTGCCTGTCCTTGAACCGTCCAGCATGTTTCAGCTGAAAGCTTTGACCCCAGCTGTTCCCTCTGCCTGCAATGTTCTTCCAGCCTTCAAAGCTGTCCTGTTTTCACTGAGGTCTATTTTACTTCTCTGGTTAACATGGCAGGTGCTCCTCGCATCTCTCCTTAATTGTATTTCTATAACTCCTTCCTAATGTGTGTATTTTGCTTAAGTGTTTATTAATGATTACCCCCCCACACACACATACAAGATTTTAAGCATTGATGGCTTCAAATCTAGCTTTGTAACTAGAACTTTGACACCTAGCAGGTGCCCAAATAAATATTTGTTGAGTGAAAAAAGTGACAGGATCTTAACTCTTAACTTTCACATCATGCTAACATTCTGGGAATTGTGTAACTAAGCTATCTCTGGTTAGCCTGCGAAGTGACAAAACCACACAAAAGGAGAGTTATCAAACTTCTGGATTTTTTTTTTTTTCACAAAACTCTGACTGTAATTCCCAGCCCCATAAAACAAAACAAAACAAAACAAAACAAAACAAAAACTTCTGTTTTAAAATATAATATAATTATCTTGACATTATTTTGTGAAGAAGTTAAGTAGAGGGACACATTTCTCTTCTAAACAGACAGTAAATGTAAGCAGAATACTGCACTGAGAGAATTTTATGCATGTAGAAATATTTACTTCGTCAAAGTCTGGGTAAAAGAGGCTGATTGATACATTTTCTGAAGTGACAAATTGATCATATTTCAGTGAAAATTAATACTCTATTATGGAGGATTAACACTACTTGAAATTAAGATAAATGTTTCCTGCTAAAACAAATTATAACTGATGATTATTTTAAGAGATTTTGTGCATTTAAATAAACTAAGTCCAATTGTCAAAAGATCTGATATGAAAAATATCTCCTTGAAACTTAAAAATACTTTACATATTGAAGTGATTTGCACTGTCTCAAGTGAAAACTGATCCATCAGTGATTTCCTTATTTTCTTTTTTTTGTACTGGTAATTGAACTCACGACCTCATGCTTACCAGGCAGGCACTGGAGGTGCTCAGCTAAATCCCTGGTGCATTAGTGATTTTTAATAAATATCTAAAAGGGAGAAACATGACTTCTAGGTAAAAGATCTGCGTGTGTGTGTGTGTATAAAAATGCTCAGATGTTTACTTATTATTTTAGCTGGGGTCTAAATCATAAGGGAGTTTCTTTCTCCTTTCCTTTCCTTCTGTACAGTACACATCAAAGAGAAGACTGGAAAGTGTAATGTATCACCCGGCGCTCTGAGGACTGAGAGGTCGCGGCAACTGCAGGTTTTTGTCTCTCTTGCTGAAGAGGTATCTTTGTAGTCTCTGGAGAAAGCTCAGGTAGCTGTTTGTGGCTTTCAGGATCTTGTCCTGAAAGGGGAGCTATCTGAATGGAGAGAGATGCTGTGTGTGTCTCAGGCACTGGGTTAGGTGGTGGTGAGCAAGGCTTTTTGAAAAACGAAGGAAGTTCAACAGGGTTAGAGAACTGTGGATTATGACAGGGAATGGCACTTCCTGCGTCCTGGTTATGCGTTAGTTTCAAGGTAGAAATTCTCTGAGTTTGAGAACCTTGCATGTAGTTCTCTTGTAGGAATGGGGCATTGATGTCAAAAAATGGTGCAGGACTCGTGCTGGAAGCTCCTGGTATTGGGCTAGTAATTTTTTGTGTATATGACATAGTTGTGTTGGATTCTTCAGAGTATAGAATTGTTGGTCTAGAATCATCATTAGAGTGCATAGTTCCTGAAAGAAGCTTTTTGTTAGTAAAAATCTCTGTGCAGAAGGGAGTTTGTGTGTTTGTTCCTAATGAGTCTAAAATGTCACCCTGTGTGTGACTGGTTTTCAAGGGGCTATGAAAGTTCTCTTTTCTGGCTGGTGGAAGGGCTGCCTACATGGCCAAGAGCATCCGGAAGAAGAAATAACGTTGAAGGAAAAACAGAGAGAAAGTTACAGTTAGTCACAAAAGCAACCAGTGTCTGCCCTGCTCTTAAAGGTAAAGCTATATTATATCTTTTTATGCTATGCATTTCATTGGCTGAATTGAATAATCATTTTCATTCCCATTAAAGTGCATTTTAATTTACTATCAAGAGTTGCCCTGAGGGGAATATAATTTTTTGCTTTTAAAGAATAGATTATAAAGTTTGCCTTCATCTACATCCTGAGAGTTATATTAAAAGTGAATACAATCTCTTGGCTTACTTTTAGATGTTGAGGTCTATGGTTTGTTTAACCACATTGTCGTATAGCATTCTTCACTCTTGTGACACAGTTTTACCCCTATCTGCAAGAGTCCCTTTAATGAACACAATAACATCCTGTACATAACTGTACTCATTATGCAATGAATACATAACTGTATTCATTAAATACATAATGTATTGCTGACCTTTGAAATACCTTTAAAATCCAAAACAGCAGTAGTAAACTTTTAAGAATTAGAATACATCCTAAACATTATGTTAGAAGCTGACCTATTTTATGAGCTTATTCAGAGAAAAAAAAACTAAAACCAAACGCTGCTCATAAAACACTTATTTTAAACTTAAAACTTGCTCTCCATGTTGTAAATGCAAGTCTAGCAACAAAGCAAATACAAAAGCAAAAACATATTAAACATAAAAGAATAGGGAAAGTGATTTCTAAGAAAGTTTCCAAAGCAGTGGTCGAATAACAGTGTTTTCAAAGTGTAGACAAGAGCATGCAGGGTTACCTGAGTTGGAGATTTTTTTTCTTGTAGGTTTGGTCGAACACTTCTGAAACCTTTTGCTGCAAGAGAGGAATATGTAGCATCTCCGTTCAGTGTCCCTGGTATTCGATCATTGTAAGATCTCCAAGCTTTCATCAAGAGAAAACAAATTGGATACAAAAATATCTACATTCACTCAAACACTTTCCAAAGAAAATATATTTGTTTTGAAAATCAAACTGCTTTTACTAGAATTTTAATTTACTATACATATTAGCAGGTGATTTAAGTTTTTTTTTTTTTTTTGGTTTTTCTCCGGTACCAGGAACCGAACTCATGACCTTGCGCATGCCAGGCAGGTGATTTAAGTTTAATGTGAGAATAACAATGTGGCTACATGTGTCAAAAAATCCTCACAACAAATTTAATCATTATTCAGAGTGTCTTTTCTGTACCTGAGTCTGGTGACTGAGAATCACGCCCTGAAAGAAAAAAAAGGTTTATATTAATCCTAGGGTGAAATAAATGAACATTTCAGTAAAAATACTTGGCAAAGAACCACATACATTATTTTTGCAGACATTATCTCAGTTCTAAAACTCTGGGTACATTAAATATAGTAATGAAAGGTTTGTGCATTAATTTTAACTTCAATGGGCATATTATCTATCTAAAAATAACTATAGTATGTAATTAACACATATATCAAACATTAATTTTTCCTCTTAATAATGTTGCAACTGTATAATTTTAAGCTTATTGTTGCCCAAGATGAATACATGAATTTCTGAATGTTAAATTAAAGGATCATAAGGGATCTGGTTTGTAAACTCTGGTTACTTTTCATAGTGTCAAATCACCAGATCCTTAGCTGCTAAAAGCCCTGCTATTACTGACTATGTTTAACTCCTGTGTCAGACAGAGAAGAATCTTCTATAATATATATACGAATATGTATATTGTATATATTTTACTTTAAAAATTGGCAAATGTACCTACCACATTATTTGACATTTTCTAGACTTTGTTTTCTTCCTATTATCATTTAAAAGTGTCTTTTTACTCAAATATGAGAGAGTTGTTACAATGCACTCCATTGTTTGTTCAGCTTTCAAACTGTGAAAATGAATTTCAGTAGTAATAAATAGCTTTTGGTAATGCAGACAGAAATTGGCTCAATCACATACAGACATATTATTATCAATTTTATTGGAATTACACAGTCAAGAAACTTTCATATGCACACTTGGTAATTAAACATACACGCTGAGATGATCATCTTGTTTGGCTTGGTTCTATTAGAGCATATGGTCATCTTCATTTAGACGAACAAAGCCTTGACCTTGGAAAGGATCTTATGGGGTCAGTTAGTTTAACCTGCAGTCCAGTTTCTGGATTTCTTCTACATGTTCCTTAGGACCATTATTAAATTGATGTTATTTCAATGACTCTTTGTTTTCCTTCTAATGTTTTGGAAATGATGATTTTGAAATCTAAACACATGAGTTTGGAATGATAAAAATGGACTGACAAATGCAACTGTTTGATTTTTAGATAAAATATTTGAGACAAGTTTTTCTTCCAAATGTAAGGGAGAAAAAGACACATAAATCAGCTACAAGTACCACAGAATGACTCCAGGCCAAATGAGTTAGACACGACTAATAAATTCTCATTCTGTATGATATTTGTTAACTTATCATCTCAAACAAATGAAAATTGGAGTAATAAAGTGGGTATACACAGTAAAAATAACTGAAGAATTACATGCCAAATGTTCACTAGACCCTACTTCGAGGCTTTGACGGAGGCTGAACTGCTTGAAAGGCATCATTCACTTAATCTAAATGATGATGGAGATCCTATAGAAGTAAACCAACATGGCTCAGCAATAGAGAACAATCTTTAGAATTCTGCCTGGGTAACTCAGGGAGAGAGCGTTATTAACCACTAGAGCACCACACCCTGGACAAAGAACGAATCTGGGGACTTAGGCAAAGGGCAAAACAATGGAAAACAGCACTAATAATAATTATAATTTGTATTGTATGTTTGAGAATAGAGAATTTATTTTACTCTTGATTTGACAAAGTCTGAGATTAAAAAAAAAGAAGGTGCGTGCTGGGTATGGAGAAACAGGGCCAAAATGTCTGAAGCAGGAAGGGTGTGAATGTCACTGGGAAGAAGGAGGTTGAATGAGCTGGAATAATCTTCTTCCAGCAGATACTGTGCAGAGGGCTGGTGTTTCTTCACATTGGTGACACCTGGGGATTGTGGTGGTAGAGTCAGAGGGCAGCTCCTCTAGACTCAGCAGCAGCTCAGGTGTGCTCAAGAAACATGAGATATTAGCAGTGTTGAGCTTTGCTCCGAGGCCTTCCCTAATAGAGTGGACAGATCGTCTAACTAAGAGAAAGAAGACAAGAGGAAGCTGGCCATGGAGTAAAACTTCAGGAGGAAACAGTGCTCTAATGAAGCTTATGTTGATCATTTGTCTTTAAAGTGATCGGTTCTTTAAAAATATTGCAGTGAACTTTTAAATTTCTTTAAAATAAAACAAACTGTGGATAGAGTACTTGGAACACTCATCCTCGATTTACTATTTTATTACAGTCTTCAGAAGTACTGGAAGATAAAAATACTTCCCACAGGAATATCATTCACTGTTGCCCTGTTTTTATTTTATCTTGGCAAGGGAGGTTTGAGGAATGGAGGATGTATGGGATTTGAAGAAGGTAACAGAAAGTATCCTGGGTCTATATATCAAGTAAAGAGAATATAGGTTACAAAAAATAAAAAGTTGAGTGATAAATGGTTTAGCAGATGCATGGGAAAAATAGTTTTGCCCCAAATCTTGAACATTATTGACCATTTACTTATGAAAGAAACAGCCAAGATTCAAAGGATCAGAATCATTAATTCCTAGTGTTCTTTAGTAGAGATCATTCTTTATCTGAAAATTTAAGAGTGAAAGAATAAGGTAGGTTTATCATTTCTCCATTTTGCATCTGAGGGATCTTGTGAGAGCTGGAAGCTGTTGATGTTCTTTATAGGTAGAAGGAGCATACCCTATTGTTTAGGACATTCCTGGTATGGGGTTAGGTGTTGGACTGTAGCTTTCAAAGATCCTCCCGAGCTTTATGATTCTAACAATATGGTTTTTATGTGGTGATGTTGGGGATACCCAACTGTTATAGCATACTCTCTACCCTCAGGTTTTATTTAAGTTCCTTTTAACTGATACACTATATTGATGTCACTGCCTGCATTTTTCTTGGAATGATTATTTTTAGTTTTTATAACTCACTTCTTTAGAGGGCTCAAGTGCTGTCCCAGGTTATTTTAAACATATTAATTACATTCAAATCAACTAATTGAATGCCTACTGTGTTTCCAAGTAGCATGAGAAACCTTTTCATTAATTTTCTTTACTTACTCTCCTCATTTAATTTTGACAAATCCTTTTGAGTTTGGGAAATGATGAAGTTCTCAGAGAGGCAGGAAAATGACAAATTATATTTATTTCTTTTTTTATATAATATCTAACCAG